CAGACATGGATTAGGGTTTGATGGACTCTCAAGAGGCTATAAGGGGTCTAAGGGAGGCTAATGACCCTTTAAATAGGGTGCAAAACCCTGGAAATTAGGGTTTCATCCTCCAGCTCCTACTTGTCGAGTCTTATCTTGGGTTCGGCAAGTAGGTTACTTAAACACGTGGCCCAACCCACTGCTACTCGACGAGTCAGGGCATCCAACTCGTCGAGTAGACCTTGAAATTATGAAAATTAAAACCATAAAATTAATACTTGAGAATTGGGGCGTTACAAAATCCGATTTTTACCCTAGTTTAATTAAAACTTCAACTTTTTACTAATTTTTTGATTAATAAATCCGATTTTTACCCCAATATAATTTATATTATATTAATTGTTTGTGGTTTAAAAAAATAAAATGTGTTTAAGATTTGTGCACAAAAATGTTTGTATATTTAAATAAAGTAATTTAATTAAAAAAATATATTTTATTTAATATTAAATAAAAACTGTTTGTTTATTAAAATAAAGTAAGTTAATTAAATTAGAAAAAAAAATGGAGTACTAGGAGTGTTACCACTCCCTACCAAATGTTAAGTTTAGGTGTTAAAAAGAGAAAAATGAAGTGGCACTCAAAAAGCTGACGTGACAAAGTGTTAGGAGTATTACCACTCTTCTTAGCCTAATAATGAACATTAAAATGGAAATGTATTATACATATATTATAGTAATATGCAAACCACATATATTAAAGAAAATCAAATCACCCCTATTAACTTAACCCCAAACGTTTAACATTTATAATATAATCTTCTACACATGAAATCTATTATATTTGTAGTAGTAATAATAATAATAATAATAATAATAATAATAATAATAATAATAATAATAATAATAATAATAATAATAATAGTAATAATAATAATAATAATAATAAGAAACTACAAGATAAGCAACTGTGGGTTGTACTCCCGGTCTCAACCCTCCAGGTAGTGTATTATAAACAAGGACCAAACAACAATGAAGGACTCGTTATAGCCTCTTAGACCATATCTTTTTTGCAAAAGAATGAAGAGTTCATTATAGCTCTCAGACCATATTTCCCCAGCACCTTGGAGTTAGGAGCACCTTGGACATACCCATGTACAATGCCCTTCATTTTGGATGCAAAGTAATAAGGCATGATCAACGCCACAAACACCAGCAAGTTCGACCAAATATAAAAACATAACAGGGTTCTTCCCCATTGCCCCACTAAAATATCTTTCATAACTCTCCCACTTCCCGTACCTACCATAAATCCACTAAATCATCAATCATACTAATCCTTTTTTTATATACATGTTTAAGATAAATGAATATGATATCATAAGATTTAACTTACCAAAACAGAGAGGGGATTTATTGGACTGTGGTACTGATCCCAATACATTCATTACTTTAGTAAACTCATGCTTATTCTGGCAATAATAAGTGAATTCTAAGTTAGAGAAATACTAAATGATATCTTTTCACCAAAAAACTACCACAACTCACATAGTCATGGGGTAATATATAGACTAATAATGGTTTAATCGTGCATGAGATGTAATTAAACATGTAATCATCGTAAATAATTGTTAATATAAAGGTAAGATATGTTGACTCCATATAATCTCTAATGTAAAAATAAAAGAGAAGGTCATGTTTAATTTCTAATGTAATAATAAAAGAGAAGGTCATGTTTAATTTCTAATGTAATAATAAAAGAGAAGGTCAAGTATGGTGATTAAAGCAACAATTATAGCTCCATGGATAATAGTTGGAAAAAGTAGAATTCAAGAAAATGGAAATTGCACAAGGAGCACGATTATTACAATTGATCATACCATGTTATACCTAATTAGCGAATTACACAAAGCAATTAAGCATAACTGATGGAAAATTATAATAGGTAAACCACAACAACAAAAAATGTGAAATCGAGGCACAAAGTGATGAAGTTTTTGCTGATTTCGCCTACTACACAAAAAAAGTTGTAAACTGATAAGCACTTAAAACATGCAAAACTGAATAACATATGTATTTGTTAATGATTAGTTTACACACGGGAAATGGAAAAGTCCTCTACTAACCAATATAACAATGTAGCTTGAATCTTGTATTAGACACTATCCAACTCGTGTCTAATTTCAGAAAAGAAATTCCAGTGGCGTAATCGTCATAATTAGATTTTTTTATGTGCAAGGGAATTTAAGTTCAATTGCAGCAGTTGTAACTTCGTTATCACAACACGATGGATTTCCATTAAGCTTCCCTTCAACAACCTTTTACAGATGAGCTTGATGAAAAGAATTTCATCAACAACACCAAAGGATTCTACATCAGCAACTTAGGAATGTGTAGAATAGCTCTAAACATACAAGAAGGGTAAAATGGTCATGGATGGATAATGTATATTAGACTCCAACACAGGTCACAAAATACAGTCACAAGATTGAGTGATTTATTGGATCAAACCGATGAGACTTCAACTTTAGATCAGTTACAAATTTGTGTGATTTCTTGGCAGCCCTCTTTGTTGAATAAGTTCCCTATCATCATAACTCACAATATTACTTACAGATTTTAATTTTAATAAACAAACAAAAACTTATATTTAAATCTAACATGTTAAAATCATAACATTTGTATGAAAATATATAAGAAAATCATAGATCCACATTTAAAAAAGATATAATTAAGACTCATGAAAAAAGAATGTGATAAATCCAATCTGTTAAAATCATAGCATGCAAATTAAATTGAGAAGAGAATCATAGAACTATCTGTAATCATAAATTTTTTATAAAAATGCATTAGTGGATTCATCTATCTATGTTCATAATCTTACTTTTTAATTGACAATTTCAGAATCCCTTAATCAGTAACCTTTCATAAGCCATTATATTTCCTTAGTATGTTATGTATTGTAAAAGTCTAGTAGGATGCTATTCATCTTTTATAAAAAGGCACAATAGTCAATTTTCCCATCGGTATATATATATATATATATATATATATATATATATATATATATATATATATATATATGTATATATATATATGTATATATATATATGTATATATATATATATAGAGAGAGAGATACATAGGTTTAAGTATTCAAAGTAATTATTGTGTGGTTGTAGGATTTAATATCAGCCAATCATTCTTAAAGGGTATTAGTGTAATCTATACTAAAAAATAAAACTCATTTTCTGCCACATGTCATGTCCTTATTGATTTGGACACATGGCATTTTAATAGATTTTTAAAATTTACTTATTTCCACATGTAATTTTCTGATTTGTTCACATATCACAACTTATTTCGGTTACAATATTGAGAGAAATAAATGCTTCCTTGAAAAAGAATTGATATATTTATAATGTAATAAATATCATAATTAATGAGAGCTCTAAAATTGATATTGATATTAAATATTGATTTTAAATTTAAAGTTTAAATATTGATATTAAATTTTTATTTTTAATAAACCCGTGTAGTACACGGGTTTCATACCTAATATTACCATAAAATCAATATCAACTGGATTAATTAAAAATGTAAAGTATTTCAATCAACCATAATATATATATATATATATATATATATATATATATATATATATATATATATCATATGTGTTTTCTTCTATTGCAGATGAATCATTCATCATCTTTATATCATATTTCTTCTTTTGAGCTTTCGTTAATGGATGTATTTTTTTCATCATATTCATCTGTTTCATCTATTATTTCTTTATTTATTTTTCATTTCATGGAAGTTGTTCATCAAATTCATTGTTTAAATTGTGTATGTTTTTATTTTCAGAACAAAGATAATACTGATAACAATAACATGGACTTTTCTGATAACAATGTTCCCAAAGTCAAGAAATCCAAAGTAAATCAAGATTTGTGAAAAGAAGAAGATGTGGGATTTGTTTTGATGTTGGTCATAATAAGAGGAACTGTTCTCATGCATTGGTCAAGAGAGAGTAGAAATTCAATAATGGGTTCAAATTATGCGTATCAGCTTTTATGGAGTTTAGTTCAGTATAATAATACTATGGATTCGTGAATTTTAAGGGTTTTTCCTTGTAAGTTTATGTTTTCATACAATAAATATTAATAATATATCATGTTTTGATATATGTTATTGTTTGTTCATTAGCATATTCATTATTTATAATCAATTGAGTAACCATCATGTAGTTTGCAAATGAGTTTATCGTTTATAGTTGTCTTACTAGATCATCGGATTCAAGTGAAACAATTTTGATATTGATTTATTTTGATACAATTTGTTATTTGGCATATGCTGAAAAAAAAATTGTTTTAAATGTATTTGGTTTTCTATCCTTATAACATAGTTGTGTTATACGTATTGTTTATGCAAAGATTCTATTAGAATTGTTCTTATTAAAATATGTAGAATTCTAGTGTGTAGTACAATATGCAAAACAAACAAATGTGTAAAGCATAAAACTAAACAAACTTTTATGTTTCTATGCAAGCGTGTTCTTGAAATATATCATTTAATGTTATTCTAGTTTCACTTATTCTAACGGAATAAGAGAGTTGTATCTTCATTGTCTTCTTAATATTTGCATTTATTCCATAATTAATCAGTAATCATATGTAAATTCATACGAAATAATTTTGTTTATCTTTGGAATATGAATTTGATGTATTGTAAAATATTTTCTATGGAACGTATTATCTTTGGAATATGAATTTGTCAAATAATAACAATATCATGATCAATAGTAGGATTTGGAGTTGATTTTTATCTTTATAATGTTTCTAAAAAATTTAAAAATTAAATCATTAATAACAATAACCGCAAATATCACGCCTTTTTAGTTACATATCAATTATACGGTTTACCCTTTTTTTAATATATACTTAATTGGCTCAAAGTTTACAAGATTTAATTTACACTAGTTTCTCCAAGCCTCTAGTGTTAAATCGTGTTGCAAATTATCTTATGGATGATACAATATCAGCTGGTGATGACCATATTCATGATCAACATGAATATCCTATTGATTATGCAGACGAAGATCAAGATTTCGAGTTATCTGATGATGATTCTCTACATAATATCGATTTTGAAATAGACGAGAATACCAATCTAAATCTAGGTGATTTATTTTTTTAAGTTTACTTACTTAATATTTATAACAATAATGTTGAACTTGTATATTGTTATTTGCATTATGCTGAAACTTTTACTTACAAAGTTGAGAATCTATTAGAACACACTCAAAATCATATTGATGTCAATTCCAACTATCATTTTGGTGAAAGTAGTAATCATAACCAAGGTGGTGTATTGTACTTATTTATTTGTTTTTTTATATATGTAATTATCCATTACACTAAATCTATTTAAAAGATGCAGAAAATGAAAACCAGCTCTTTGATGATGATGCAGATGATACTATAGCCGATGATAATATTGATTTACCGAAAGCTTAGCACACCAATAACAAAATATTTTAGAAAACTAGATTAATTCGTTGCGATTGTTTGCAATCTGCACATCGACAACATCCATTTGTTTCATTCAATATGTATTCTGTTTTTTTATACTCCCTCCGTCCCATATTAATAATCCATGTTTCCTTTTTGGTTTGTCCCAAAATAATTGTCTACTTCTAAAAATAACTGTCTTTTACCATAATGCCCCTCAATATTAGTTAAATTACCATAAAATTAAATACAACTACCATAGAATTAAATGCAACATACGGGTAAGACTATAAGTTCATTTAATAAAGTTAATGGTAATTAATGTTTTCTTAAACTGTGTGTTTTTTGTCTGTAGACTATTATTTTGGGACGGAGGGAGTAACTTATTGTTATGTTTTATAACTTATTGTTTATTTTTATGTTTCTCTTGGTGGCTGACCTTATTGGATTCCTATTGTTTCAGACCACATCAAACCTAAAATCAACTCAACAATTGACTTATATTGTGCAACATTATCAATGTACAAAAATTATGCATTAGAAGCAGGTTTTGATGTCAGGCTTGGAACAATTAGAACAATGAAATCTGGCATTATCACACAACGACATTTTCTATGCAATCGGGAAGGTAAACCAAGAACTACTAAAGTGGATACTCTAGATCCTCAATATAATAAGATTCAAAGTAGGAAAGACTCATTTAGGTACGAATCAAAGAAAAAATTGTTTTTATTCTACTATATGATACTAATAAATATATTGTTGAAGAGTTTGTCGAACAACATAATCATGAGTTGTTTGGTAAGGACAACATGTTTATGTCTCGTACAAAGAGGAAACTTGATTATTCTCAGGAGATGTTTATTCACAACTTTTCAAAGAAAAATATTGGTGCCTCAAGAGCTTATAGATTGTATACGGGACTTCAGGGTGGGTCTGACGTTCGAGGTGGTTTGGTATCCAATTTTAAAAACAGTATGAGAAATCTCAAATCTTACATAGGTTCCAGGGATGCAAAATTCCTTGTAGTTAAGATGCTGGAAAGGAAACAAATATCCCCAACTTTTTCTTTCGAGTTTAAAGTCGTGCAGAAAAAATTGAATGCGTTTTTTTGGGCTGATGAAACTACAAAGTATAACTATAATGCTTTTGGAGATGTTGTATCCCCTGATGCCACCTTCAACATGAATAAGTATATTTTATGTTTGTAATGTTATCACAGTTTTTTTATTACTTCCAATAATATTAATTAATTTTATTTTTTTAAATAGATATGATATGGTTTTCGTATCGTTCACTGGGATAGATAACCATAAGAAATGTGTAACTTTTGGTGTTGGACTTCTGAGTAGAGAAGATGGTAGTTCTTATTCTTGGCTGCTTAGAGCATTCTTGAAAGCATTCAAAAACCAACCCACGCTTGTTCTCATAGATCAAGATCCAGATTTGAACAAAGTTGTAAATGAACTTTTTCCAATGTCATCACATAGGTTTTGTATGTGGCATATTACAAAAATATTTCCAAATAGGTAAGCATTTTTTACCAAAAGATTGTTAATAGATTTTTCACTACAAGAAAAATACCCTTTAATGACGCACAAACAATGACACTCGCTGATTTACGATACGCATTTTTGTGTGACCTTAAAAGTAATGTCAGCCTTCCAAAATTTGAAGGATAAAGGACACGCATTTTTGCGCACCTTCAAATTAATGTCCAACAAAAAATCCTTTGCGATTCTAAAATTTTAAATGCGTGTCCTCTAGAAATGTCGCTTTATATTTTTTTTGTCAACACGCATTTTTAAAGGCGGAAAATGAAATCCTTTGTGATTCTAAAATTTTAAAGTGCCCGCTTCTTCACTTTTTCCTCTAGATCTCCCTTCTCTCTACAAACCCTAAGGCATCGCCATATCCCTTCTCTCTAGGACGTGCTAGGGTCCAAAAATCATCTCTTGCGGCTGAACATGCGGTGGCCGGACACTTCGACACCACTATGCAGTTGCTCAGCCGCCAACTTGGCATAAAGAACTTCACACTGTTGAAATCACTGTTTCTTGGTCTTCACATGGGGAGTCATGCTTTCCTGCGTGCTTTCTCTTCTGCTCCATTGATCTCATTGGCTATTGAGCGTGGTTGGAGTGAGTCAGCAAGCCCTAACGTCGGGGCCCCATTTGCACTCGTTTTCAATTTCTCTCAGTTAGAAGAAAAACTCAAAACTGTCTAGAAAGCCACCACCACTAGTAAATTCACTGAAGCCTTGTGTCTTTTCCTGGGTATTCTCCATACCATTCCCCTGATTGTTGTATGTGCGAGGGTATGTATGTCTTCCTCTTACAATCATTAATCCCTAACACCAACGATTGAAAGTCAAAATTAGATTAATCGCCACCTCATCTTCGTTCAATCGAGTTTGGACCTGGTTTCACCATCACTGCAATCAATCACCCTGCTCCACCTCTCACCAGTCAGCACTGTTGGCCACTGCAATCAGGTATGTCCCTCAGTTCCTCTGTTTATTTCTTCTATCTGTTTCTCTCGTCTCTCTTGTCCGCTTGAAAAGTGCATTCAACATTCAGCAATTCATGAATGTCAAACATTGATTTACTGTTACCATGTCTAATTTTGGGGTATCTCCTAGAGAATCTATTTAACAGAATGTAAATCTTAGAACTTTGCAATTTGCACGCCTATATCTTTATTGATTATCAGTAATTTTGCATCTATTAAGTTTTTCTAGCATGTTTATTGTTTTTCATCTAGATTATCTCCTTAATTTGAATTTATTCTGTTTGGTTAACACAGGTGTTAACAGGATGTAGAAGATGTTCTAATGGCAATCTGCAAGCCTCTATCTTTATTGATTACACTCTTTAGATTCACAAGTTTTATATTTAAAACAATCTCTCTTTCAAACTATAACAAAAAAAGCTAATAAATTAATATATAACCGGTTTGGTTTCGAACCGGACAGGATCAAAAACTGATTTCTGAATAATTTCAAAACAAGAACTTATTACATTAAGCATCAACCACTTTTTTTCAATCTTGACACATCATCATGCCACATCAGCGGGTAACTGGGTTGACCAGTCAAGTGGTCAACATTGCAAAAATTAGAAAACTTTGTGATTAAATTTTAACAAAAAACTAACACAGTGTCAATCGTTTTTTTAATGATTTTTGTGCAATTTACCATTTTACCCTTTTATGATAGGTGTCATATTTACAGGAATAATAATACTGAGTAAGTTTTCATAATTCATATCCATGAATTTTATTTTGCAGCTACTATAATGTGTATAGGGGTGTTATTGTCTATTTCCAAGTTATTGATGGAACTGTAAAGAAAGATGACAAGATTTATTTTATGGCTAGTGGAAAGGTTAAAACAAAAACCACTCTTTTCTTGTTTTTTAAGCTTGTTGTGATAATGCCGAGATTAATTATACTTGGTTTAATATATATATATATATATATATATATATATATATATATATATATATATATATATTGCAAGTTGATGAACTATATGATGGTGAGGTAATAATACCACTCCCATGTTTCTTACAATTCCAATATCTATGTAAGGGGTATTTTGGTCATTTAACAAAAAAGTTTTTTTTTTAAGAGGTGGGATACATTTTTACTGCTATTCAAATAATAAACAACCCACTCCCATGTTTCTTACAATTCAAATATCTACTCTACTCATGGGGGTATTTTGGTCTTTTTCACATTTGAAGGTGGGATACATATCAACTTCAATAAGATCAGTAGCAGATGTAAGAGTAAGTGACACCATAACTCACTACACAAGAAAAGCAGATCAATCTTTACCTGGATACAAAGAAGCCACTCCAATGGTGTTTTGTGGCTTGTTTCCAATCGATGCACACCAGTATATATATTATTATATTATATCTCTTTAATCCACAATACGATGTCAAGCTCCAATGGTGTTTTGTACCCCCCCCCCCCCCCCCCCTCAAAATTAACTGTTCAAGCTCCGCCCCTGAGTGACTAGTTCATTGCACATGGGACATTCTATGTTTGTAACTCTTGAGGTTTGGTAAATGTTTACTAACAACATAGATTCACATAAAAACTTTGTAAAATTCATCATTTCTTCTTCATTCAATGTGTAAATAAACAAACCATTCATATTTGCAATTGTGTTCCAGGATATTATGATCAGATACAATAGGATGAAGGGCAAATCTACACTCTGGCTCCCTGGAACTAATCATGCTGACATTGCAACTCAGGTTTCAGTTTTTCCACAAATGAATTTCTGATTATTGTATTAGTCTACTTATTTAATATATTATATATCTAACAGATAGTTAATGGAAAAAAAAAATGAATTTCTTGTTTGACAACTGCTTGTAATATAAGATAACTGCTAAGTAAGATTTCAACTGTGGTTCCTGAGTTTGATCATCATTCATTTTGGAAGGATGATAGGTGAGCTAACTGCTAAGTAAGATTTCATTAATTGAAACTGAAACTAAGATTTCATTAAATGATGATTGTTATCTTATTATTATTTTTTAATAAACTTTGTAGTGGCTTTTCAAAACTTTTTGATGTTGATTGGTTTATCTCTTTCCTTGCAAAGGATATGGTTGTTGTGAAAAGTGTTACTGACAAATACATGCGATCACTTGAAAACCCCCATACACCATGCGGGTCCCACGTAAATCTGAACCTCACTATTACCTTCATGAAGTTCTTCCTGTTCTCATGAGGCGACATGTAATTATTTCTTTAGTTTACAACTACTGAAATCTTTTGATTTGTGAATTTTGATGAACGAATTGTGTGCTGGTTGTTCAGCTGACAAAGTTTGACTATAGGCTTGCTATTGACCTTAATAAAGAGCTACAAAGATTAAGATGTTGAGTCAATTACCATGCTTTTCGCTTTTCAAAACCATTGCAAGATGTTGGAGATCATCTGGTGATGAAAATGAGGAAGATGACAAATTGTTACATTGCTGTTCGTTTAAGGTTTGAGCCTGATTTGCTTGCATTTTCTGGTTGTTATTATGGAGGTGATGATAAAGAGAGATATGAGCTTGTAAAATAAGATAACTGCTAAGTAAGATTTCATTAATTGAAACTGAAACTTCATAAATATTCATAAAAAAATTTATGAAGGATAACCGTTGAGAGCCCCATAGATCTTGCAATTTAAGTGGTTTGATTAGTTTATTCTTGTGGTGATATGAATATGATACAATGTAACAGGGAATACAGGAAGGAGTGGAGGGTGTTGAAATAATATCCTTACTGCAGCAGAAAAGGATGGATTTTTCTCTGAGGTAAGTCCCTGAAGTAAATTCATCCTTGTTAAAACTAATTATTATAATTTGTAATTCATAGATGGAAACTTCATTTTTTTAATGGCTGAAACTAATTGTAATTTGTTGGCTTCAGATAAATATGGCTATTGTTGGGAACCATGGACTAGATGTGCAGTTCATTGCACTCAATTTCCTTGAGTCACTGGTATATGTTTGCATAATGTTATTGAGTACCGATTTTCTTTTATACAAAATTCTCATCCTAAAAAATAATTTTGCAGGTGTCTGAATTTTCTCCATCTACTTCTACTGCTATGAGCCTTCCTAGGGAGTTCCATGAGCAATGCTGAAAATCTCTAGAACATGATTATCTCAAGGTTTTTCATTTTGTTTGTCATCATCATTAAACCATTTCCTATAACAACTTATTCTTAGGAGCTGTTTATTTTCTTTTCTCATTATGTCCTGTATGGTTAATGATGACTCTCTGGATAAAGTGTTGTATACACATAGTCTGTCTCTAGCTGAATAAACCGTATGAATGAGACCAAATGACCATTTTACCCTTACATTCCGAAAGACAGATAGATTTTTTTTGCTTTATCTAATAAGTCATTCTGTCCAGTTCAAGTGCTTAACCCATTAAGCCCATTAAGTAAAAAAGAAACACCCCTTAGATTTTTTTGAATGAGGTTTTCTGCATTGAGTATATAAAGCAGGTGGACTGCATGGCATTTCACTAAAATGATGATAAATCCCACCTACTTCATACAAGTGTATTAATAACAGAAGAAACTTAAATTGAAAAAGAATCTGAAAGTTGTACATGATTGGACTCAAGAAAATTTATCTTTGTGCTACTCACCTTCTCATTTCTTCTTCTTTTTCTCTGTTTATTCCACAGAATTTTCATTGTTGGGCACTAGGGGCTGCTTAAAGTGTTACTACTGAAATTACAAATTCTGATGCTTCTGTATCAGAAGCAAGAGTTTGTACAACTGCACTCTGTTTCATGCTTCAAGTTCTTAATTGGGACTTTAGTAGCAATGGTAGAGTTGCAAAAAACAGCATAGATGTTTATTCCTTTGTTGCTAAAGAAGATAGTAACTCCACTTATACGCTAGTCCAGGTAATACTTTATTTATTTATTTTGGTTTTGTGTTACATTTGAAAGCAACATGTGCATTTTAGACAAGACTTAATTGCATACAAAATCACCTTATATTTGTTCTATCACTAGTTTAGTTGTTGAAGTTTCAAATGACTGTTCTTCATGATTATATGTTTTTACGAAATTATATTTCAACAATATTATTAACAAAGTTATATGTTTATATTAATTGAATCCATTTTGAAAAGGGCTTAGTATGCATCTACTTTGAAAAGGGCTCATTCTTAAACATTTTCTTAATATAGTTGTGTATGTATAGCTGTACTTTCCATAGTCTATAACTATTGAAATAGTAGTAACTGTCAAAAAGGAATAAGAAGCACATACTATACTCTCATTTCACATATTCTGAAAAAGTAAATGGTCCTATTTATCGAATCAAAACAATGATTAATTTTGCCAAAAAAATCTTAAAATCTGTCAAATAGTGTCCAATACATGCAACCTAATAAGTTGTCCAAAACAGTAAATGAAAACATCAAATATTGTTCTATTAGAAACATCTGAAATATTTTCATAACATTACGAATGGATTATGAAATTAATTGAAACCCAACAAGTTTTTTTTGCATCTGGTGTAGCCTTTCTTCTACCAGAAATGTCTGCTAGAAGTCATAATCAGTTATCATAACATAATGCATGAATCATGAATTTCATATTAAGCTATATGAAAAGCTTAAATGCGTAATTTCACACTAAAAAGGGTATTAGAACTGGAGGAGCTTTAAATGGATTAAACTACTAAAAA